CCAAGTACGTGCCCCGTGAACTCCACCATCTGGCTTATATATCGGAGTTCACGACTGACATCCGCTACATGAAAGGAGCTGACAACACCGCCGCAGATGCCCTTTCTCGTATAGCCGCGGTTGACTCTCCACCGCCAACCATCGACTGGGCCTCATTCTCCTCGGCACAGCAGGATGATAGAGAGCTTGCCACTTTTCGGGAGAACCCCCGTTCTCTCCGACTACGCCTGGTGCCTCATCCATTATCATCTGAGCGCTTGTGGTGCGATGTCTCAGCTGACCATTCCCGCCCTTTCGTTCCCGCTTCATTACGACGCACCGTTTTCTACTCCTTACACGACATCTGTCACCCTGGCATTCGGGCTACTCAACGTCTTCTCACCCTATGTCTGGCCCGGAATCAACGGTGATGTGCGCGCTTGGACGCGCATGTGCCTGCCCTGCCAGATGACAAAGGTCTCCCGTCATACTAAGACGCCGCCCCAACCTTTCCTTCCACCCGGCCGTCGTTTCGACCATGTTCATCTAGACATTGTGGGCCCTCTACCAGTGTCTCAGGGGTACCGTTATATATTGACCATGGTCGATCGCTTCACACGCTGGCCAGAGGCTGTTCCAATTCAAGATATCACAGCCGATACAGTTGCCCGCGTTTTCATTTCTACGTGGGTATCCCGTTTTGGCTGTCCTGGCACCGTGACAACAGACCGTGGACGTCAGTTTGAGTCCTCGCTGTTTACTTACCTTAATCGCATCCTCGGAGCCAGACATTGCCGTACCACAGCTTATCATCCCTGCGCCAACGGCATGGTGGAACGCCTTCACCGACATCTGAAGACCGCCTTGACTACCCACCTCAATAGAGCCACCTGGGTTGATGCCTTGCCACTGGTGCTCTTAGGTTTACGAGCTGTCATCCGGGCAGACCTGCAGTGCTCAACAGCAGAGCTGGTGTATGGCACTTCTCTACGGCTTTCGGGAGACTTCTTCACGTCAACGAAGCTACCAGACCAGCCACAGCAATTCCTACAACGCCTCCTCGACTGCGTTCAAGACCTCCGGCCCACTCCACGTACCCAGACCTTCCGAACACAAGACCATATTCGCCCACCCTGATCTGGCCACTGCAACACATGTTTTCGTGCGCCACGACGCGGTCAGACAACCTTTGACACCAGCCTACGACGGACCATTCCGCGTCCTTCACCGCACCCCCAAAACTGCCACTCTACTTCAGAACGGCCGTGAAGAGACAGTCAGCTTGGACCGACTCAAGCTGGCGTACCTGGAGACCGCCCTAGAAAGCCTCTCATCTACGACTGATCTTCCGTTGGAATACCACAAACGGCATGTCACATTCCGACTTCACGTCTACACGGGGGGCCCTGTAGCGCCCTCGTTCGGGCGGCGCGCAAACCGGAGAGCGCGCGATGGCGACAGAAGAAAATAAAGAAGGCGCTAGGCCGTGGCACGTGAAGCCACGGCTCACGTTCCGGGCTGGCATCGGTTATCGTTCAGGCGTGTCTCTCTTTCGCTCCTGTGGCATAAGCCTACAATTTCAACTATGATATCCTTAACCCCCGTTTGTCCCCTAATGCACTCTGCTCTCTTCTTGTCTCTTAAGGTTACACCTACCATTTTCTTTCCATTGCTCGCTGCGTCGTCCTCAATTTAGGCTGAACCCTTTTTGTAAGTCTCCAGGTTTCTGCTCCGTAGCTAAGTACCTGCAAGATACAGCTGTTATATAGCTTCCTCTTGAGGGATAGTGGCAATCTACCTGTCATAATTTGAGAGTGCTTGCCGAATGTACTCCACCCCATTCTTATTCTTCTAGTTACTTCAATGTCATGGTTAGGCTCTGCGGTTATTACCTGCCCTAAGTAGACATAGTTTTTTACAACTTCAAGTGCACTATTACCTATCTCGAAGCGCTGCTCCTTTCCGAGGTTGTTGTACATTACTTTCGTTTTCTGCAGATTAATTTTAAGACCCACATTTCTGCTCTCCTTGTCTAACTCCGTAATCTTGAGTTGCGATTCGTGCCCTGAGTTACTCAGCAATGCAATGTCATCGGCGAAGCGCAGGTTACTAAGGTATCCTCCATTAACCCTTATCCCTAACTGTTCCCATTCTAGGCTTCTGAAAACCTCCTGTAAGCACGCGGTAAATAGCACTGGGGAGATTGTGTCCCCCTGCCTTACACCCTTCTTGATTGGTATTCTGTTGCTTTCTTTATGAAGCACTGTGGTAGCAGTTGATCCCCTGTAGATTCCTTCCAAAATGTTTATATATACTTCATCTACGCCCTGATTCCGCAGTGTCTGCATGACGGCTGATATTTCTACTGAATCAAACTCCTTCTCGTAATCTATGAAGGCTATGTATAGTGGTTGGTTATACTCTGAGCATTTCTCGATTACCTGATTGATAGTATGAATGTGGTCAATTGTTGAGTAGCCTGTTCGAAATCCTGCTTGTTCCTTTGGTTGATTGAATTCTAATGTTTTCTTTACTCTGTTAGCAATTACCTTTGTAAATAGCTTGTATACTACAGAGAGCAAGCTGATCGGCCTGTAATTCTTCAAGTTCTTGTCATCTCCTTTCTTATGTATTAATATGATGTTAGCGTTCTTCCAAGACTCTGGTACCCTTCCCGTCAGGAGACACCTCGTAAACAGGGTGGCTAGTTTTTCTAACACAATCTGTCCTCCATCTTTCAGCAGATCTGATGTTACCTGATCCTCACCAGCAGCTTTGCCTTTTTGCATGCTCTCTAAAGCTTTTCTGACTTCTTCTATCATTACTGGTGGGGTGTCATCTGGGTTACTGCTAGTTATTATAGTATTAAGGTCGCGGTTGTCTCGGGTACTGTACAGATCTCTGTAAAACTCCTCCGCTATTTTAACTATGCTCTCCATATTGGTAGTTATTTTGCCTTCTTTGTCCCTTAGTGCATACATCCGACTTTTGCCTATCCTAAGTTTCCTCTTCACTGCTTTGACGCTTCCTCTTTTTTACAGAGCGTGTTCAATTCCCTCCATGTTATACCTTCTTACATCGCATACTTTACGCCTATTAATCAACTTCGAAAGCTCTGCCAGTTCTATTTTGTCTGTTGTACTTGACACTTTCATGCTTTGACGCTTCTTAATTAGGTTCTTCGTTTCCTGGGAAAGCTTGCCAGTGTCCTGTCTAACTACCCTGCCTCCAACTTCCACTGCACACTCCGTAATGATACTCGATAGATTATCATTCATTGTATCTACGCTAAGGTTGGTTTCCTCACTAAGAGCCGAGTACCTGTTCTGCAGTGACACTCTGAATTCCTGTACTTTCCCTCTCAGTGATAGCTCATTGATTGGCTTCTTGCGTATCAGTTTCTGTCGTTCCTTCTTCAAGTCTAGGCAAATTCGAGACCGTACCATCCTATGGTCACTGCATCGTACCTTGCCAACCACTTCCACATCCTGCACGATTCTTGGGTGTGCAGTCATTATAAAGTCTATTTCGTTCTTAGTTTCGCCATTAGGGCTCCTCCATGTCCACTTGCGGTTTTCTCGTTTTCGGTAGAAAGTATTCAAAATCCGAAAATTATTGCGTTCTGCGAATTCTACTAGTAGCTCTCCTCTTGCGTTTATAGTGCCGATGCCATAATCTCCTTCTGCCTGGTCTCCAGCCTGCTTCTTCCCTACCTTTGCATTAAAATCGCCCATCACTATAGTATACTGTGTTTTTAATTTACTCATTGCCGATTCCACGTCTTCATAGAAGCTTTCATCTGAAGCGTCATCATGGCTGGATGTAGGCGCGTAAGCCTGTACTACTTCATCTTGTATCTTTTATTCAGTTTAATTACAATACCTACCACCCTTTCATTAATGGTATAGTATTCCTCTATGTTGCCAGCTATGTTTCTGTGAATTAGGAACCCCACTCCCAGTTCTCTTCCGTCTGCCAAGCCGCGATAGCAAAGGACGTGCCCATTCTGTAGCACAGTATAGGCCTCATCTGTCCTCCTAACCTCACTGAGGCCTATTATATCCCCATTTAACACCCTCTAGCTTCTCGAATAGTACAGCTAGACTTCCCTCACTAGATAAGGGTCTAGCGTTAAACGTTGCCAAGTTCAGGTTCCAAAGGCGGCCTGTAGTTAAAAAATTCTTGGCACCTTCTGCTGCGTTGCAGATCTGACCGCCGTCATGGTCAGTTGCTTCGCAGCTGCCGGGAACTCAGGGCCGTGAGTTATTTGACGTATGTAACCAATGAGCTACTGGTTAGCTCATTGGTTAGAGCATCTAACGCGTTATTGGAAGGTCGTAGGTTCGATTCCTGCTCACGGCTGGTTATTTTTTCATCCACTTTTCTTTCTTCCTATTTACATTCCATTGGTTCTCATAACTTTCCCTGTACATTTCTTGGCATCACTGTCTGTTAGATCTCATTAATATTGTGTTAAAACACTGAAAAACGAGCCCTTAGGTATACACTTCTTTCCCTTACATATATATATGCGTATACACATACGATGAGTGACGCAGACGTTGGTGGCAAAACCCAGCCGAGAGTGTTCATATAATAGCTAGTGCAATAAAAAAGAATCACTGCATGTATAGAGCATAATGCTTTGGGGGCGAATTGAAGATTTATTAAACAAAAACGAAATAAAAGTTGTCATAAATATTTAGTGGAACTACATCCTTCGGACGTGCGAGTCAGCAGTCATGCTTACACATGCTCTGAGCCTAAAATTTTACAGGTGCAACGGGTGGCATGGCATCTGGGCGCTAGCGTACTTATTTTTTCACTACTTCCGCCGTGGTTATAACAATAAATCACTACATTTTGGGTGTGCACGCATGTACCCTTTGGACGTACGAGCCAGCAGTCATGCTTACACTTGCTCTGAGCCTAAAATTTTACAGGTGCATCGGGTGGCATCGCATCTGTGCTCTAGCGTACTCATTTTTTCACTACTTCCGCCGTGGTTAACAATAAACCACTACATTTTGGGTGTGCACGCATGCACGGACGGCCGCGGCCTTAGCACGCAAAAGCTCGCTCGACAAACAAGGTAAAAGTACTTCGAAAGTTTGTAGGCCACGCTTTCATCCCGTTCAAGTAAGGCACGTTTTTTAACATATAGACTTCGGCATTCAACGTAATTTCACTCTTTGAGATGACTGACTGCATTGAAAACTGTATTTGCATGATAACTTTTAAACTAATTGATAAAGTTGACCGGATGACTTTTCTATTACCTGCATGCCTCACACGGTATTTGGTGTAGGTCCAAAAACAAGAACCAGCAACTCCGCAAGGCATAGTCACTCGCTATAGATTCTTTAAACAACACAAATTTGGGCTTACGGGATTCAATATCTGTCATGAAATTCAGAGTATTGCCGAATATGGTCTTTATTTCGTAAAGAGGCGCTCAGTGTAACATCGGTGCGTCTTTGTAGCTATGCTTTAACGGCCATCAGCGAAGAACTTGTGTTAGTTACAATATTTATAGCATGAAAATGTGCTTAGGGCTCACGGATTGTATTTCTTAGGCTCCACCCTCTGTCTTCAGCTGGACAGTTACAAAGCTCATGGGCAATATTTTTTCAAGTTTGAAATTACGCACTTGGATTTCCTGTGAAAATGTTGACAACTGCCGTAAGGAATGTCCTGGTCTCCTGCGGACAGTATAATCTCCCAGTATAAATATAATTGCTCCCATAAACACAGATATTACGTGCAGAAGTGTGCCTCAGATTTTATCCTCCAGTTGGAGGCAGTTTAAGACAACAGCTTTGTACATATGGCGCGTTACTACCTGTGGCAAAATATGGAGGACGGCCACGAATGGCGTGGCCAGTGTTTGGCCGAATGACTACGTGCACTCGTATCGATTACTTCAACCTGAACCTGGCTTCGTCAGAAGCACGAGCGAAGTGCCAATATTAGGACCCGCCTCTCGGAAATGAAGATATCACATTTTTATTCGTATTATTCATGCCTGTACTCGCTTTGTCGGGCGGCGTGTGTTGCATGCTGTCCTGCCTCTTAAAACTTGGTCATCAATTATACGCTGTCAGGTACGAAGAGTTCGTACACATGGCGAGTTTGTGTTGTTCTGCTTGTAGAGCCTGTCAGAGACGTGGGCTAAACATCAGGGAGACGAATGTAGTAGGGGTGATGCAAGTGTAAGAAGGAGCGATGTCGTCCTGGAAAAGTGGTTCGCCAGAAGCGACGTTTATTGCCCTTTACATACAGCATAGCAACAAAAATGGCATCAACCGTTTTAGAGCTACACAAATCGCGTTCTCACACAGCAGTTTCGGAACTTCTGCAAGCGTATACTATTTGTACGCTTTTACAAAATGACACCAACCCCCAATATGCGTACTGTTCCTGCATGTTAGAGCAAAGGACAACCCGACACTACTTATGTTCACTTGGTATTCGGTGAGTGTAAGTGTAAGGAATCTTCGTGTGGAGATCAATAAGGCACGATGTGAAACGTGGAAAGAAGCTGATTTGTTGTATTGGTGTAAATATCTCTGCCATATTTTTGAATGGCCTAAGCGCCAAGTTTGGAATGAATTGTGCATGACACTGGAATTGTACCATGCATTTATTTATTTATTTTACACTTAGAGCCATAGACAGCAGCAGGGTTGGCAGTAAAAGGAAATAACATATAGATATTGTAGAAATTAAAATACTTTGCTCGAGCGTTAGGCTACACAAAATTACCTTGATAGAGAGAGCTTGAAAGAAAAAAATTCTTTTAATCAAGCAGAAGATTCAGCCATCGCATATTCGCAGGCAGTAAAAAGGGAGAAAAGGTGAAAAGCCGCATAATTGTGTGGGAAGAGAAACATTAAAAAAAGAATAAGATGCTGGTCTAGTAATAGATGTCTTTGGTGAAGAACGCATCCTAATATACAATTCTGAAATATTCAGGCAAGTAGCTTGAAATAGGTACTCATCGTTAGGGCTTCGTGCTTACAGATATATCCGCAAAAATCTGGTAAACATTAACTGGTAAAATTTCCGATATTCGACAATTCAGATTTAACGGTGTAACACTGATTTCAACAGACGTATAACCCTGCTCAATTCTTTATCGAAAGATTGTGTTCTAAGCGCTCATTGCTACAATGATCAGCTTGGTCAAATAAACTTTTCCTCACGTAAATAGTAACTTCTGGACTTCAGCCGTAGTACATTTAGCAAAGACCATGTCATGCACGGAGCAAGAGAAGTCCATATGTAGGAGTTGCGGGAGCGTATAGACCACATCTTGATATACGGCCTCCTTGCGGCACTGCATGGAGCGCACCAATGGACATTGAACGAACGAACATCGTGAAGGATCAGTCGTCGACGACCAAAATGTCAAGTGTTTGACTCCCGTTGACTGAAGTTTGCTTTTGTCTCCTGATTGCGTGTATTTTTCGACGCCCTATTGCAAAAACCAGTGCCACTGGGTACCAGCGTCCAGCGCCATGCCTGATAATGGGCCAGTATTGCGCTGGTACCAGCGCCTCCCAGCGCTGGGTACTCAGCGCAAGCTGGCTTCAAAGGAATCAAATGGGGTGCCCATTCACCATAAATATATAAGCGTATAAGTAAAATTGCAAGCATTCACATTAAAAATAAAAAGAGAAAAAATAAAATGCGTTATAACGGGATTTGAGCACGCCACCAGGACATGCTTGTTGGGTTTTAACATGACTTTTCAACCAAAGAACCTGCCATTCGGCTTCATGTTTACAAGTCACACAATCAAGATTGACGCGATATTCCTTTCCAAATACAACAATTGCGTCTTCATTCGACAGTGACGAAGAGCTTCCGGGTACCGAATGACGCGCTGATATTGGCAAGAGCGCAAAGTTTTTTGAAGAATCCACATCTTAACTCAGAAAAATCTCAAATTTACTGGAGGAGCAGCCACAGATTGTCGGCTCTGGCTGCCAATATTTTTTTTCTTTGTTTGTCTGTTCTCGCACTTGCTACTGGTCAACATGTACAGATGATTTAAAATGACTTGTTTGGCACATATCCGCGCACACGAGTGAGTATTGAGTATTTTTTTTTTCGCGCAAGCGACGATGTAGCAGTACACATCCGGCGTGACAGATTGAATATTTGCAGTTATGTCGATCCTGCCACGAAGAAACCGCCGAAGAAATTAATAATGCAATCCACTGAAAAAGTATGCCAGTGTGTTCGTTCACCAAGACGTACCAAATTACCAACTCGAAATGGCGTGTTCTTACATACGAGTCAGAGAAGTACTGGCTACTGCACTCGGAAGGAAGCTTTCAGCAACAGCCTGCGTTGCTGAAAGCACGACACATCGATCATCATCGCTCTCTTTTCGGGCACGCACACACAGATAAATGGTTGATTTAGGCTCAGGGATGTCTAAAGTGTACTTTGCAGTCGTTCTTACGCTTTAGAGTTGTGCCTACCTAAAGTAAAAAGCGACGGCAGCATGTACACTGACGCGGCCGGCACGATGGGCCTCGCTGGGACGGGGCACTGCAGGTAAGGTGGCTCTCGAAGCAGCTGAATTGCGATGCTTGAAGTTTCTGCATTTGAGCTTCGCAGCATTTCTAACTGATACCTAAACTATACCTGAAGTAAGCATAAAGTCAATAATTGCCAGACATGCATTTCCAAAGTGGCGATGCCGAGCGACAGCCGTTTTTCTGGCCTCCACTGGCAGTATACAGCGGGCGTATACCAGTTTACAGAATTACATATCAATATCAACAATTAAAAAAACGCCCAAGGAAATACTAATTCAATTCACTGAAAACGTACGCCAGGAAGTCAGTTCACGAAGGCGTACCAAATTAATTGATTTGATTTGTGGGGTTTAACGTCCCAAAACCACCATATGATTATGAGAGACGCCTTAGTGGAGGGCTCCGGAAATTTTGACCGCCTGGGGTTCTTTAACGTGCGCCCAATTTTGAGTACACGGGCCTACAACACTTCCGCCTCCATCGGAAATGCAGCCGCCACAGCCGGGATTTGATCCCGCGACCTGCGGGTCAGCATCCGAGTACCTTAGCCACTAGACCACCGTGGCGGGGCATAGCAAACTACCAACTGGAAATTGTGTGTTGTTACATATCAGCCAGATAAGTACCGGCTAACGGCGGCCGGCAGCTTTCGGTGACAGCCTGCGTAGCTGAAAGCGCGACGAATCGATCTTCAGCTTTTCTTGTGCGAACATATACACAAGGCAAATTAGTTGATTAAGGTTCATGGATGTCTAAACTATACTTTACAGTTATTTGCACACTTTGAAGTCTTGTGTCCACGAAGCGAGAAGTGCCAGTAACATATATACCCCGAGCGGCCAGCACGATATAGGCCTATTGCTCGCAGGGCCGGGCACATGGGTAAGACCGCTTTCGACGCGGTGAGTTGGGATGGTTGAAGTTTATGGATTTCAGCTTCGGAACATTTCTAATTGTTACCAGAAGTAAATAGAAGGATAACCATGGCCAGAAATCTATTTACGCGGTGTGGTAGAATCGAAGGACAAGGTTTCCACTGGGAAACCTTGCGAAGTGATCGAGAGAGCTCTTTTACGTTTCGTCAAATTGACGGCAAAAACAATTTCCTGTTTCTGTTAGGAGTGGCGTCCAGCTCCAGGCTTATAAACACTGCAACATGGAATCGTTACAGCAATATACGGCTGATTCGAATACGTTCGGTATACGCGGGTGCATGTTAGAAAAGGTGCATTAATTGCTGCGATAACTACTTGCGCCGCCAAAATTACGTATGCTCTGTATCTGTTAAGGTAGCAACTCTCCGCGCCATCGGATCAAGCGTTTCATATTCAACGACAACGAAACATACCACGGCACACGCTACAATATTGTGCACACTGCGCTGGTAGAAACAGTGCGTGGTCCAGTATTCACCAGTGCTTGCCAATGAAAATTCCAGCACTTCCAGCGCTTCGCAGCGTGCGCCAGCATCATAGCGCTTAAGCCAGCGTCCCTACCAGTGCGACACAGCTATTTCGTAGTGCCCCCCGTGAAGTGCCAG